TTCACTGGGGTTTGGTCGCCGGACAGTGACGACTCTTGTGGTAGTGTTGGATTTTGCACAACACTGACAGAAATGAAGCAGATAGAAAACAACCTTAAAAAATACTGATTTCTCTTTCCCGGAATCGCTGGAATTTATGCACAGCGATAAGTCTCTCACAATTGCTCTGATACCATGTGAGAAGGCACGGGAGAAAATATGTTATTGATATATTGAATGAATGAATAATACTACACAAGAGGTCCTTATTTATAGCTATACTATACAAGGACATACTACTCCTCTACCAATGTGGGACAATACTACACTATATACATGCTGTAAATTAATACCCACAAAGTAGGGTTTGGGGGAAGGTAGAGTGTACGCAGACCTTAGCCCTACCCTGTGAAGGTGAAGGTAGAGAAAGAAGCAGAAGCAACAAGCAATAGCAACAACAAGATAAGATGATAGAATAACCGAAGTGAAAGAAAACGCTATACAAATACATTAAGACTAATTTTCTGCACTAACGTTTTAATGGTCAACTCTAAACATGGAAAGTGTATACTGATATAAACATGGAAAGTGTAGGAGAAATGAAGTGTGTGTTTCATTAAGGGTGTGTACTAGGACAGATGCAAAATGTTCCCAGGGTTGGGAACTGGGGGAGGGATATTTCTCCACCTATGCGCTTCACAAAACATATTTTGTTCCAAACTCAGATAAGGAGATGAGTTGCTGTAGGTATTAAAAATCTGACATATTTGTCTGATTATGCAGATGACTTGATTGTGGATCCTCGTAACTTCGAGTGGATGAGGGAGGCCAATTGCCCTGTTGTAAGAATGTTATTTATGATTGTTTTATTGATATTCTCCCTGATAATTTAACTGGAGAAATCCACTTATATTGACTCTCTTCTTTATGCCTAGATATTTATTTTGGATTTACTTTTTCTCATATAAATTCTTGTTTCTCAGGTGGCTGATATAACTCATTCATTACAACAGCCTGCAGGCAAAAAGGTTCATTGTTCTTTTGCCCTTTCATTAGAGAGTACCAGCAATTTTATATATGTCGAGTCAGCATAAATTTATGAAGCTTTTCCGATCATTTTAAATATATCTCGTCGGCGTATAGCACAGGGATCTAGATTTCTCTTAACCTAAGCATTAAGAGAAATCTGCTAGACTGGAAAGTGCACGAGGATGCCATGTTAGCAGTCTTGCTAGAAAAGAGAATAGGATCATTTCTCACTGATCAATATGAATCCATAAGCGTTGGGAGACTTGTCATTCTTCATCTAGATGGCAACCCTGATAACAGTTGACCCCTTAATTGCCTATCTTCTCTTCTTTCTTATATGTCATTGTCTCAACTTTGTGCTGCTTGAATCTTTCAAGCCTCAGAATCAACTGTTAATAATTTACTTTAACTGTTATCAAGACGCCAAATGAATGTTCTAAGATCATGAGTTCAATTACATAATCATACCATTCCTTAGGATCAAATGTTAAAAGTGTTATTCTATGTCAATGACTTGAAGTTCTGATTCTTGCACAGCTGGAAGGTGGTGGTGTTGCCAGTGGCGGTCTTCGTGAATTAATTCCTTGTATTGCCAGGACAGCTGTTGCTGTGGGAGTAGATGGAATTTTTATGGAGGTATAAAGGGGCCACTGTGTGATTTAAGTTTGCGATTTGCTTTCTGTATGCGCCCTTGTTTAAGAAGACAAATATGTATATTCCTTGTTTAAGAGAACAAGGATAAAAGGAATTTGAAAGTTGGAATGAAAATGCGGTTACTTACTTTTGCTGTAATTCCTTTAAAAGGAAAACTTTAAGCCATTCTTGCAATTCCTGAACTTTTTGATGTCTGTTTTGTCAGAACTTGCTTTAGTTTTCTGCTCAATTGAACCAGAGATTTTTTTTCATTAGGTGCACAATGATCCGCTGAATGCTCCAGTTGACGGTCCAACGCAGTGGGTGAGTTACAGGCAAACAAGCAAACAAACAATACATAATGTTGAGAATTTTGAGATATCCTGTTTTCTAAAATGAAACTTTATTTATTCTGATTTTAGCTGTTAATTTGATCAGTGTTTTCATCTTTGTATTGATATAGCCTCTGCGCCATCTGGAGGAACTACTAGAAGAGCTTGTCACGATTGGTGTAAGTTACTTAATTTCTATTTAGCATGAATTGCATATTAGATCTCCTTTTGTTGCATTAATGAATGAAGCTAAACTTTTAAGTAGCAACACCGGTAAAAGATAGAAGGATTCAAAATACTGGGCATTGGTGTAGGGTGCATTAAGCTACAGCAGGCACCTTTGTGCTAGAAGTATATGCCATGAGAGGGAAAGGATAAGAGAAATGCATATTCTAAGTGTAGGTAAAGCTAACTTATCAAAAACAAAAGAGTCCATTACTCAAATGATCACTCAACTATTCGAAATTACCTACTAAAGTCATCTTTCTTTCGTTTGTACTTAGAAAAGTCACTCAACTATGCCTATATCACTCAGAAGGTTACTCAACTAGATTTCTCAAACTTTTGATTGCCAAATACCTATTTTGCCCTCTAAATTATCAATGTTTTTCTTCTTTTATTTTTTTAAAACTTTTTAATATTATAATTTTTTTTCTCTTTTTAGTTTATATTATGGAGTTACCTATAGAATAAATAAATTTTATTTATAAATTAAGAAAATAAAAATAGTGTTTAAGCATATACAATGTTGGAATAATAAAATAAAAAAATTAATTAGAACAATTTGTTCGTAATAATAATTTTGATATTAACAACAGAAACTCAAAAAATTATTTACACAATTGAGAATGAAAGAAAATAAAAGTTTTATAATATATATTCCATGCACCTAATATAAAAATAATTATTTAAAATAAGGTATTTTTATAAAATACATTATATATTCTTGAAATATTTGCTCAATTATATTATTATTCCGACATTATATATGCTTATTTTATAGATAAAATTTATTTGTTCTATAGGTAAGTCCATAATACATATTTAAAAGGTAAAAAATCAAAAAAGAAGATAAAAGTTGATAATTTAGAAGGTAAAATAGGTATTTGACGATCAAAACTTTGAGAAATCTGGCTGAGTGACCTTCTAAGTGCTATAGCCATAATTAAGTGATTTTTATGTTACAAACGAAAGAAAGATGACTTTACTTGATAATTTTAGATAGTTGAGTGATCGTTTAAGTAATGGACTAAAAAAAAAGTGTCGATAAAGCTAATCTTTGTATTTCCTAGTCTTCCTTTCTTTAGTTTTATGTTATTTATCCATAATGGTTGCTAATTTTTTCTTATTTTCCTTTATGTTTTCCTAGTTCCTCCAACCTGATTAATACGTAGGTTTGTAGGAGCTACATTTAGTATCTTTTGCTGCCTGTTTATCCTAGAGTGTCGAAGGTGTAGGTGTCATGGCTTTAAACCAGAGTTGAAAAGGGTTATAAGGAGATGTATCTCCCTGTCCCACATAGAATACTTGCAGTTCCCAGTATTGTTTACATTTTTGGGACATTTTACTACGTCGCAATGATGTTGAATGCTCGTTTGAGGTGCATTGAAACCAAATAACTAGGTGAATCTCAAGACGGTCACTTTGGCTTGGCCAAAATGACGCTTGAATGCAGACGTCAAGCCATTAATACATGTATCTCATCACCCATGGGCTTTGTCTTTGAGAGAGCAACATTAGACAATAAAGATAGTTGGCTAGGTGATATGTCACGTGTTAATAAAATGGTACGAATGAATTTTTCAGTGATTTAGTATTGATCTCCTCAAATGAACTTTCTAGTGATTACGGATAAGAATTAGAAATTAACAACAACAACAACATACTTAGTATAATCCCACAAGTGGGGTATGGGGAGGGTAGTGTGTACGCAGACCTTATCCCTACCTAGCGAGGTAGAGAGGCTGTTTCCGATAGACACTCGGCTCAAGAAAAGGTGAAAAGAGAGAGAAGGGAAGAAGACGAAGAAGAAAGAGGAAGAAGAAAGAAAGAATATGGAGACAAAGGACTATAGGGAAAAGGGGAAAAAGACAACAACAACAACAAGTAAAAGAGAAAGTAGCATCAACTAGTAATAAACCGGAAAATACGATGCAATAAGCAAATACTAGAGGTCAAAGAATACGAAGAAAACAAGAGAGCTACTAATACTACTAAAAAAGAACGGGGAACTCTCGACTACCTACTAGCTTACTGCCCTAATCCTTGACCTCCATACCCTTCTATCCTGGGTCATGTGCTCAGTGAGCTGAAGTAGCGCCATGTCCTGCCTAATCACCTCTCCCAATTACTTCTTCGGCCTACCTCTACCCCTTCTCAGCCCCGCCACGGCCAGCCTCTCACACCTCCTAACAGGAGCATCCGTACTCCTCCTCTATACATGCCTGAACCATCTCAGCCTCAACTCCCGTATCTTGTCCTCCACAGGGCCACTCCCACTTTGTCCCGACTAACTTTGTTCCTAATCTTATCTCTCCTGGTATGCCCACACATCCATCTCAGCATCCTCATTTCTGCTGCTTTCATCCTCTGAACATGAGAGTTCTTGCCTGGCCAACACTCAGCCCCATACAAAATAGTAGGTCTAACCACCATTCTGTAGAACTTACCCAAGTCTTGGTGGCACCTTTTTATCACACAAAACACTGGATGCGAGCCTCCATTTCATCCACCCCGCACCAATACAGTGGGAGACCTCATCATCAATCTCCCCGTTACCTTGGATTATAGACCTGAGATACTTGAAACTACCCCTCTTCGGGATGACTTGGGTATCAAGCTTCACATCCACGTCCGCTTCACGAGTCTTGTCACTGAACTTACACTCAAAGTATTCCGTTTTGGTCATGCTTAATTTGAAAACTTTAGACTCTAGGGTCTGTCTCCTGACCTCCAACCTCGCGTTAACCCCGCCTCTCGTCTCATCAATCAGCACTATGCCATCGGCAAATAACATGCACCATGACACCTCCCCTTGAATGTGCCGCGTGAACACATCTATCGCCAGAGCAAATAGGAACGGGCTAAAAGCCGATCCCTGGTGCAACCCCATCACTACTGGGAAGTGATCCGAGTCACCTCCCATTGTCCTCACCTGAGTCTTAGCACCATCATACATGTCCTTGATTACCCTAGTGTATGCTACCGGAACGCCGCTAACCTCCAAACATTTCCACAAAACCTTCCTCGGGACTTTATCGTACACCTTTTCTTGGTCTATAAACACCATGTGTAAGTTCTTCTTTCTCTCCCTATACTGGTCTACCAATCTCCTCACCAGATGAATTGACTTTCGTGGTCGATCGCCCAGGCATGAATCCAAACTGATTCTCGAAAATAGACACACTCTTCTTCACCCTGACTTCCACCACCCTCTCCCAAACTTTCATAGTACGACTCGGCAGCTTGATACCCCTATAGTTATTGCAGTTTTGGATATCACGCTTGTTCTTGTACAAGGGAATCATCTTACTCCACCTTCATTCTTCGGGCATCTTCTTCAACTTAGAGATAACATTAAACAACCCATTAAGCCACTCCACGCCTGCACGGCCCGTGCTCTTCCAGAATTCTACCGGGATCTCGTCTGGCCCAGTCACTCTACTCCTTCTCATCTTACGCATCGCTCCCATAACATCTTCGACTTTAATACGCCTACAATAGCCAAAATCACGCCGACTCTCGGAGTGCTCCAACTCACCCAGCACAATGCTTCTGTCCCCCTCCTCATTCAACAGTTTGTGGAAGTATGTCTGCTATCTTCGTCTAATATGAGCGTCTGCCACCAATACTGTGTCGTCCTCGTCTTTGATGCACTTCGCTTGGTCCAAGTCACGAGCCTTACTCTCCCTCACTTTGGCTAACCTGTACAACTTCTTGTCCCCGCCCTTGCTCCCAAGTTCCGCATACATGTGTCCAAAGGCAGCAGTCTTAGCCGCCGTAACCGCTAACTTCGCCTCTTTCTTTGCCTTCTTATAACATTCCCAATTCGTCCTCTTATCCTCCTCGTTTGTGCTCTCCACTAGTTTCAAATAAGCCACTTTCTTGACTTCAACTTTACCTTGGACCTCCGCATTCCACCACCAGTCCCATATACGTCTCCCAGGGATACCCTTCGTAACCCCTAAAACCTCTCTCGCAGCTTCCCTAATGTAGTTCGCTGTCATGACCCACATCGCAGTCGCGTCCCCACTACTCTTCCAGGCTCTCATCGCCAGCAACCTCTCCCCCAACTCCTGGGCTTTGTCCTTAGTCAAGTTTTCCTACTTGATTCTAGGTTGACTGCACACTGCTCTCTTCTTTCTATTACTCTTGATCCCCAGATCCATTACCGGGAGCCTATGTTGGGTCGTGAGACACTCACTTGGGATGCCCTTGCAATCCGTGCAAAGACCTCTATCACATGTCCTGCAGAGAAGATAGTCTATCTGAGTCCTGGCCACCGTACTTCGGAAAGTGACCAGGTATTCCTCCCTCTTTGGAAAACTCGAGTTAGCTACCACCAAATCAAAAGCTCTAGCGAAATCCAACAGCGAAGTACCTCCCTCGTTATTATCTCCAAATCCGAACCCTCCATGCACATCGTCATAACCCCCAGCATTAGCCTCGATATGGCCATTGAAATCCTTTCCAATGAAAAGCTTCTCGGTGCGCGGAATACTATGCACCACCTCGTCCAAGTCCTCCCACAATTGCCTCTTGACCTCCTCACCCAAGCCTACTTGAGGAGCATAAGCACTAATCANAGTCACTGAACCCGGAAGCATAGATGCTTTTATATGCTTTTGACCTTTAAAACACTGTTACTTTATGCCTTCTTGGGCTCTTAAGTTGATCCTCGTTAGTTGGTTTATTACTTCTTGTTTGCATATGTACTTAATGTTTTTGAACAAACTCGTTCTAATGTGAAAGGCCTGTCATACTTGATCAATTTTTTTTTAATTTTTCTTTTTTGGAAATATGTGTCATTGGCATTCACAAAGAGGTTGTCTCCATTTCCAAATTTTAATTGCTTTTTACTTAGATCTTGATCGGAAATTGTACTATGAACCAGCATGATCCATACGCTACTTGGATCTGATTTGGTCTATTTTATTTGTTTTTAATATGTGGATAAAATTTGAATAAAAGTAAGATGTAAAATTTGAGGCTGATACACCAACTTAATTGTGGGGGCAAAACATGATAATTCAGGTATCATCTTGAGGGAAAAGAAGTAGAAAATCTTACTAATTCTGTTAATATCATCTTGAGGTAAATGATTACATAAAAAAGTTATTGAAGTTCTTATCCGTTTATAGAACATCCTAAAGGTTATTATCAGATATACCTAATCAGCTGTGGAAGATATATTTGCAGCTGTTTTTTGATCAAGTACTAAATTTTATAAACAAGGGCAAGAAATTTCCGCATACAAGAAGTAAAATATGCCAAAAAGTAGAAACCCTACAAAAGACATGGTCTTCTACGAATGATACCCAATCTTCTATACCTACGGGGACCCCTTGGGTGCACCAAAAGAAAATGAGGGATACAAAGCAATTTCTCAAGTGCACAAAATCTTTCTCTATCCCATCAAAAGCTCTCCTATTTTTTTCTCTCCATACGATCCACATGAGTGCTAGTGGAGCAACATTCCACGCTCTTCATCTTCTCTTCCGTCTTCCAAAGGTCCAGCTAAATAATACTTGCAGCTGTTTGATTGAGTAGCTACTGTTTATTTGTTCCTCACTGGATAAAGAACCTGAATTAAATCTGAGATAGACATCATTATGTTTGTGAAAATCCTTTTGTTCAGCTATTACAGTTGGCCTTGGTCCTTATGTGGAAGTGTAATGTCATTTGTATTTCTTATGACGTCGAGCTACGTTCTGTCTTTGATCTGTTCCAAACTGGATAAGTAACATGACAATCTGAGTAAAAATTGCCTTTATATCAACCTCTAGATTCCACAGAAAACATATCAGTGCATTAAACAACAAATAGGTGTTGATAAATGTGAGAAAGAAAGATTGTGGAAGTACTTAATGGTATATGTTTGTCATTTCGCTTATGCTTTACATCATTCCTTGCATATTTCTGTGTCCCTTTCTCCCTAAAACTTCGCAAGTTTTCTTTTCTTTCCTGATATCACATTTCTTACAGAGAGTTAGCAAGGGGAAGCAGCAATTCAAAATTGATCTCACTCCATATCGTGATTAGGACACAGAAGTTTGGCTATCAGTAAGCATTCCAATTTCCAAGGTCACTTGAAAATATTTGAACCCTTATACTATAGGTTATATATCAAGCTGCTAAGAATTGTATTTGACCTGTTGACCTCAGGTTGCCGTTTATGTTTTACATTTATACTTCATGTATGTGTTTAGTCCTATCTCTGGAATAATGAATCGGTTTTATTTAGTCCTTGATTCACATATTAGTTTCTGAACTGGATATGTTTCTCAGAATTTTCTCGGCAAAGAATTTACTCTTTTGACAAACTACTTATCCAACATTAATGAGAATGTTTTCTTCGTTTCTTGAGCCCTATGAGCATGTTCGTCTGTATACCTTGAAATTGAATCTCTCAACTTCCATATTCTTATCCTTACTATCAATGTCTACCAGATAACTCTGTGCAGACGATGTCTCCTCCATTCCATGGCAGTGGAATTGCTGCATCATCAGTTCGCTGCTTCGAAGACACTACAGCGTGTATTCATTACTGTACTGAACATGTATTAATTTCTCTTTTTTTGTTGTAATCTTGATCTAAGATTAACTCATTGGAGAGAGTTGTGACATTTCAAGTGCACTTAAAAGGCTATTTATCATTTCTAGGAATGTAATTTATCGGTGTGTACTCTGAAATCTTTGGGAACGAAAGTTGGTATATTAGAATCGTCACAATAAAAAGGTTTATCTTTGGACTTCCAAAAGATCCCTTTATTGCCATATGGTTCTGCCTCAGTAAGAAAATCGATGCTATTTAACTTACTATGTGAATACTGCATTTAGATTATGATGCTGTTGACTTACCGTGAAAGGAAAGGACAAAAAGCAAAAAATGAAGTAAGATAACGTAGGAAGAATTCCTCCTGCTATGCGTTCGACTGAGATGCAACATTTGCTGGGGGGTATCGTTTTTCGTTAGTGTCTATCGCTGCATTATTATCAGTCTCTAATAGACAGATACGGTAGATGTACCGCAGCAGAACATGAAAATGATGATGAAATTTATGGTCCAATATCTAATCTGAATGATTTAGGTTTCAAGAATTTCAACACCATTTTCTGAACATGCTTAGGTTAGTACTCCTGGAGATTGAAAATCCTACTTATAACTTGTCATGTGGTTGGTAACAAATTTGACTTGTAAAAAAAACTACAATGGTCAAATTGGTGTCACGTTTACACAGGAAAAAAATTGAAAAATTCAGGTGCCGCAAATTCATTTTACTTCCAGTGTTTCTGTAGCTTCTATGGCCATACTTTCTGGTACCACTGAACTGCAAATTTCCAAGTCTTCTCCTTTAATGCAGAACAGTCTCTTCCTTTTCCAATCCAGAGCTTATGGCCTAAGAAAAAGACTAAAGATAAACAAGAAAAATGGAGTAGGCAACAGAACTAAAGCCTCTTTCTCTAACAGCTACAATTCACTGATTTCACCATCTCTGCAACTGCCTACCCACATGTACAGATTTGTTTTTGAGTTATTGTTTGATGGTAGAACACCACAACACTCCCTCCTTGGAGACTGCAGCAGAAAAATGTAAATCCACTCAGACAAAGGCACTATAACGAATATTCTAAAGAATGTGGAACAGTCGAGGTACACACAAACTGGTACAGACACCGGTATAAAGAGCGTTAAGAAAGAAAAGGTTTATGTAGAAGTGCCTAAAATGTACCTTCTGCCATCGGTTGCTATCTGGTCTTTTCAACAGAACAATGTTGTTGATATTCTCAGGTGACTCAACTTTCCACCTGCAATAAGGTGAAGGCTCTCTATGTCGATAATAAATCCCAATTATCTGCTTCCTCGTTCGATCATATTTAGCTGTGTTCATGTAATACACAAAAGGCTTCTGGCAAGGATGCTTTGTAACAGGCCTAGTGTTGAATGCATAAGCTGTATAATCAGCTCTTCTGTACCAATTGAGAAATGTTCTTGTGGGCATTTCGAGTTCTCTAGGAGAAATATTACCCCTAATGATCTGAACCACATAACCCCATGATACTGAGATTGACCAATATCTTTCTTTGTCATAGCAAATTGACTGTTGCATTAGGCTAGCTGAGTCGAGTTTTGCAGATTCAAATAGGCGTTGGAGGCCGGAAACTCTGCTCATTCCTGGGAATATTGGATCTACCACATCAAGATGGTGAAGTGATACAAGTGGAGTTACTGGATGTGCTCCCAATAGGCCTAGTAAGTTCCCATATACATCATACTATACTAGCACAAACAAAAAGATCATCAACTTCAGCCAATGCTTAGTGTATATATAAAGTTAAAATTGAAAATACAATCAAAAAGTATAAGAACTTTCGGGAGTTTATGACCGAGGGAATTCCAGATTTCCAGTGTTAAATTCATGCATGGTCACTGAATTTTACCCACTATAACAGTAAAGTCACGGAACTATTGTCTCGTTTTAAAGTAACTACTTTTATTGCTCCTAGATAAGGGCGAACTGCAGCAATAACCACTTTTAAGCCCGCTATTTAAAATATATTCACAGTTTACAATGTATTTAAAGATTAGCCAATTCACCCAAACTTCACGCCTTAGTGTCCTGAATTTTTGAGCTGCTAATTTAAAATTCAGGACTAAGTGTCCTGAATTTCTAAACTACTAATTTAAAATTCAGGACATAAGATTCTAATTTCAGGACACAATTTTCGAACTTTAGAACATGATGTCCTAAAGTTTGAATTTTAAGATTTAAACTCTAGGACGTCGTGTCCTGAAGTTTGAGCGAGATTGGCTAATCTTTAAATACACTGTAAATTGTAGATATATTTTAAACAACATGCTTAAAAGTGGAAAAAAAAATATTCAAAAATAGCCAGATTTACAAGTGGTAATTGAAAAATAGCTACAATTTCAAAAGTAATCGAAATTTAGCCACCTTTCATGTAAAGATAAATCTGAACGAAAACATTGTTCAAAATCCGGAAAATATTCCAGCACAATATACTGGAGTTCCAGTATAATATACTGGAATTCCATCATAATATACTGGAGTTCCAGTATAATATACTGATCCAGCATAATATGCTGGAAGTTCATACATAAGTGCTCCAATCTCCAGTATATTATGCTGGAACTTTCCGCGTGTTGGAGTTCCGACATAATATGCTGGAAGTTCATACGCAGGTGCATCAATCTCCAGTATATTATGCTGGAACTTTCCGCGTGTTGGAGTTCCGACATAATATGCTGGAAGTTCATACGCAGGTGCATCAATCTCCAGTATATTATGCTGGACCGGTCCGTATTGCAGCAAAATAGTGGCTATTTTCAATGACTTTGCAAACGCTGACTATTTTTCAATTACCAGTATGAAAATTAGCTAGCCCGTGCTATTTTTACTTAAAAGTGACTACCTGGTGTCATTTCCACCCTAGATAATTCAGGATGGTAAAGCAAAGTCATCTGCAGATTTGGATGCAAATTTGGATCTACGCTACAAGTTAACTTACTGATCAGTATATTTTAACCTGTTGTATTAGATATTTGCTTGTTATTAATCTCATTTTTGTCGACGATTGCATTTACTTATCTCTTTGTTGACCTGATAGTGTGAAAATTCTTTTACACTATCAACATATAAAAGCGAAACTCTATTAATATAAACCAAGACCAATGGTAAAAGCCTAAGCCAAGAGGTTTTATTTAAAGTTTACCTGATGAAATCCACGTTCTTTGGTAAGGGGGACTCCAAGTTCAGCCATACAAGCTTGAATTCTATCATCACTACCATATAATCCAGGATATCTCTGAATACAACGATCTTGCATTTTTTCTAACTCTTTTGCCAATGGATAACTAATAGCAAATCCACCACCCCCATAAGCCATAGCATATGAGAAAAATATATTCTGGACATGACTTTCTGAAGAGCTACCAATGTAATAATATTGGTTATGATCATACTTTGATAAAACTCTAACCACATTTTCTACAATAAAAACTGTGTCATCATCTCCCATTACAAACCATCTCACATCTTTCAAACCCAACCTTAATGTCTCTGAAACTACCCTGGAAATCCTCAATGCTGATCTTCTCCCTTGACGATTCGTGTATAGAAACTTCGACGTGTCACCTGAAATCGGAAAACAAAGAAAAAATCATACCTTGATGATCAATATTTCTATTCAACAACAACAATAACATATCTAGTGTGATCCCGCAAGTGGCGTCTAAAGAGAGTGGAGTGTACACAGACCTTACCCCTATCTTGTGTGAGATAGAGAAGTTGTTTGCGATAGAGCCTCGGCTCAAGAAAAACGTTTTTAAGACGATCAATATTTCTATTACTAGAAAAAAAAAAAAAATCATACATTGACTATCAATATTTCTTCTATTACCAGAAAATTTGTCACTTCTGTTGAGTTGAAAAACATACATGTCTATATGTTGCAAATTCAATATGTTTAAATTTAAATGTAAAAAGAATCGAGCATATGCCTTCTTTTGTCAACTTTGATATGCAGAGGTATTGGTCTAGTCCCCCCTACACAGTGGCAGATGTAGCATATAATTAAAGAGTTCAACTCATGGACCAAGCTTTTTTCATACGGATCACAAATATATATGTGAAAAATTACTAAAAATAAAAAATAAAAAAATTGAATCTATTTCAAATGTATGTTTCAGTGATAAGAACCTAATAATTGAACTCATCAAATTCAAACCCTAGATCCGCCTCTATCTCTCTCTTAGTATTTCCTTATTTCTTGTGACACATTTCAAATAGGTAGTCCGGTGCACAAAGTATCCGTGTTCATGCAGGATCAGGGGAAGGGTCACGCCCCATAGGATGTGATGTCGACAACCTACTCTAATAAAAGCATTAATGGCTGCTTCTGCGGCTTGAACACGGATAGGTCACACGGAGACAACTTTACCATTGTAACACGTTTCAAATGGTGGAAAAAAAAAAGTAATGTTAATTTAATTTCCAAAGAAAAAAAATGCTACCTGAAATCTTAATATCAGGAAGAGCTTCATTTCTGTTGGTTTTTACATTTTTGTCTAACCAAACAACTCCTCTTGTTTCCCCCGGTCTCCACCATAATTTTATATACTCTTTCCTTTTCTCCCACAAATTTGATGATGCAGCTATTCCAAATACAATATGTTTGAGCTCAGGCTCCTTTGCTCGAACATATTCTTTGGTTCTTTCTTGTCGTTCTTGAAAAGTGAGTGAAGACGAGTTCGTGGAAAAAGCTTCAGTGGTTGAAATGTTAGAGGAAGTATTAACACAATCTGAAGAATCATCATTATTAAGAATGAGCTTTGAAGAGTAAAGAAGATAAATGATTAATAAAATAAAGAAGAGCCAAGTCACGGATTTGCGATGGCTACGTTGAGAAGAAGCAGAAGTCATTATTAATTATTATGGAGTTTTAATTAATTAGCATGGGTAATTGAGTTTGTTTTCAGTTTCTGGTGATCATTGTGATTAATTTTTAGCTGAAGCAGCAAAATTAGGAGGAGGAAAAGTAAGTGAGAAATGTTCGGATCAATTAGGAGGAGATTTTTGAAGTTAGTTAGAGGATTGAACGAAGATGAAGGCGTGCATATGGCTCTCTAATAATGTTAATTAGCAAAGTGATATGCTGGACTTTTACAACAATAGTTATAATGTTATTAATTATTACTATTCAATGTAACACTATTAGCCACAGCCAAAACTAGCCAAGTGCGTACAAAGTTTGAAAACTCCATATAAATAAGGATTCTTTGCCGCGAGAATCGCGCGCAAAGATCAACAACAACAACAACCCAGTATAATCCCACTAGTGGGGTATGGGGAGGGTAATGTGTACGCAGACCTTACACCTACTCTGGGGTAGAGAGGCTGTTTCTGATACACCCTCGGTTCCCTCCCTCCAAGAACTCCTCACCTTGCTCTTGGGTGACTCGAACTCACAACCTCTTGGTTGTAAGTGGAGGGTGCTCACTACTAGAGTAACCCACTCTTGTCATAATTTTAAGCGTGATCAACAACATCAGATGCAAGACGGAAAGAAAATTTTATGGATGAGGTAGCAAACAAGGTGAGGAAATACAAAGGAAAAAAAAATACAAAATTCCAAAAACCTAAGCAAAAAGGGACATTTTCAATGTGTATGATCGAAATTCATTAAAAATATATAGATGAGTCAATATACAAAATTTGAGGAATTTTGGAAGTGATTTGGACTAGTTTTGAGTCAAAATTCGTAGTTGAAATCGACTTTAAAATTTCTCTACATATGAATCAAACATGTATCTCACATATAGGTATACATAGATATACAAGAGATACATATTTGATACACACGTGATACCAAAGATACATGGGAGATACACAATGAGATATATATATCATTTTCTTCCATGTTATACTTCGAATTTAGCTCAAATTTCAATTCAAACTACCTAAAATCTCCACCAAATAGTCCCAAAATTAAGATTTACATTCCTTAAGATGTACCGGATCTATTCCAATAATACCCACTCGAAATAAATTCTAATTTTAAAAGCAAAATTTTTGAATTCAAGCTTTAGAGAGCTTAAATAGATGTCCATGGAGTTTTTAATTTAATCCTTTGACCCAATCCAACAAACTAATATTTAATAGCGATTTCTAAATCGAATTAAGGCGCTCGATTCTCAGAACTTCAACTTAAAGGAATTAAAATATTGCAACTTAAAGGAATTAAAATATTGCAAGATTAGCCCAGTGTCTCAAAAAGTTTGAACTGCCTTTGTGTTTTAGCAAAATAGACTTGTGTTAAAAAATGACATTTGGGCTATTTCTTGTAGATATTTTATTTTGGACTAGTTTTGGTTGAAATTGTTTATGGACTGACACTTTGGATAGTTTTCTCTATTTAATATAAGGGAAAAAAATCAAAAATAGGCAGATTTGCAACTTGTAATTGAAAAATAGTCACAGTTTCAAAATTAATCGAATTTAACCATTTTTTCATGTAAAGATAAAAACTGAACAAAAACACCATTAAAACTTCGGAAACATTCCTACATAATATGTTGAAGTTCAAATTTTTTACATATGAGATTTCATCACAATGTGCTAGAATTTCATAATATGCTGGAGTTCCAACATAACATGCTGGAAGTTTATATGCATGAGCTCCATAATCTAGCATATTATGCTGGAACTTTCCGTGTGCTGGAGTTCCAGCATAATATGCTAGAAGTTTATATGCAAGAGCTCCATAACTCAGCATATTATGCTGGAATTTTTCGTGTTTCAGTAAAATAGTGACTATTTTTCAATGACTTTGCAAATACTTGCTATTTTTCGATTATCGGTCCGAAATTTTCACTTTAATATACCTAATATTACGATCAAACAACTGTATTTTTATATTCCGACAGGAGATCATTGCTCAAGTGATTTATATGATTTGGACCTTCTAAGAGCAAATAGCTAGTAATGAAAAAATAAATGTACTTAATGGATTGAATCTGATTGATTCGGATTCAAACTTCTATTAAATTGGATAAAAATACCTACAATTGTTAAACCAATTCAAGTGGAACCAAAATTGCATTAAATTGAGAGGAAGGTTTCGAGGTTTGGTTTGGTTTTATAGTTTTATTCTTCTTTCCTATTAGTTAGAATTTCTATATTACAACTATGTAGTAATAATTTAAATTCCAGATTTCACTTTTTTTTAGGAATACTTGTGTATAATGTTGCCTTTTTCTGATTTCTGCGAAAAGCTGACAAGAGCAGCTTCCAACAAAAGTTTTGGGCCAAAACTTGATTAGAGGTCCACAAAGAATTCGGGGCAAGTTACATATTTGGTATTCGCTAAACAATTATACAAAAATTATGTATATTATATTTTTAATATATAAAAAATATACTATATTTTATCAGCTACTATCTAAACTGTATAATTTTCCCAAGAATTCTTCAAGAGAAGGGTCCACATAGCACCGAAACCGTTCTTGGGCTTATGTGAGTACTCCTATATGACCCATAATACCTGCATATTGGCAGAGCAGATCACATGAATTGGGCCCTACCTTTTTGTGGGCCACCCATGAAGTGAATCTTTCAACTTACCCATGGTTAAATTGTAGATATAGAAGCCGTTTTTAACGGATTACTGTTCAAAAGTACTTTTTAAATTAATTAGCTAAACACAAATCGATTCTCGATTTGGCCAAACATTCTATTAGCCCCTACAATTAAGAAATAATCACTGTCATAAAAGTCTCAAATTCCACAGTTGCTATGAAACATGAAATTCCATGACAGTGGCTATTTTTCAGTTGCGGGAATTGAAAAATAGCTATTTGTGAATTTTACCCGTTAAAATTACCTTTACCTTTAACCAGTCTAATTCGTTTTTACACTATTTTATTAAGTATGGAGCAGTAAATTGGATCACTATAGTTGTATAATTTCTTGAAACTAAAACTTAATCGTGTTGTAGTTGTTTCTTAATATAAAATAAAAATATGGAGCTTAAATCACATCATAGTTTATGGAAGACAGTGAGTCAGTGAGTGTAGTGGTTGGGTCTAGTTTTCAGGAGTCAAGATCTTATTGTACTTGAACCAATAGAATGTGACACTAAAGCCCTAAGTCCTACCATTGCCTTAGAGTTAATAAACGTAAATTCCTGCCTCAGCGGACGAAAAAGGTAAGAAAGAATAAGTAGAGACAGGCATATGTGTTATAATACCCGATTCATCTAAATCCAGTATTTTTGATACGGAATATAAATTTAGTGTAAAAATTTACTAAAATTACAACACATAGTGGCTCTGAACCAATCACTTTAAAAATATGATAGGTTTAATACTAAGAACCTTAAAAGTTAAACCTACAGAATTTAAATCATGCACCCGCCTTTGAACATAGAGGTTATTATCTAGTGATTTTATCAATAAATATTGTGTATTCTTGACCTTTTGTACATAAATGCTAACTTTATGTATACATCATGTACTTGTTTACCAAAAAATTCTGTTAAATGCGTTTCACAAACAACACACACATTCTACCAACCAGCCTATTGAATGTTAAATGCACGATTCAAACATCAACGTTGTATTTTTGCCATATGTGTGTCGAATAAACTTACAACAAATAGCTTACCTCCCTCAATGCAAATTCAAAATTTGAAGTTTATGAGTTTCTACAACAAACTCAAGTTAATATACAGTAATAATTATGTTAACAGTTAAATATTTATAAATATTTCATGGATTTTAAATACATATTCAAGGCCTAGACAAAAACTACTAGGTTCCTGTGAACCCGTATCTCATATTTTGAATCTGTCACTAATCTCCATTAGGTTTAGCGGCAAACTTAGACTAGACGATGCAAATTTTATCTAACTCGGACTATATATGTGTTTGAAAAAGGACTAATACATATATAAAAAAAGAATTTACTGACTTTAAATTCTAAATTCGTCACTAATTAGCCTGACAACCCAGAAAAGTTTTACATTGGTAGAAAAGGGTAATTAAATTTTTTAAATCTTATGGGACAATAGAGTGGAATTACACAACCCAGCATTCTGGATTCAATTACAAACCAATAGAGTATAACGCGATTAAGCCATTGTTTAAATTGTTGGTTCTTGATGTAATAGGCATGTAACCACCTGATCCATAACCTATCTTCCTTATGCTCAATATCCCAGCTTGCCTTAGTTATTGCAGCTTTATTCCATAGTCGTATATTAAGTAAGCCTAGACCACCAACTGATTTTTGAGTGCATACCTTATCCCAAGAAATTAGGGCTTTCCTTGTGATTGTGTTTATACCAGAGCATAAGTAGCTTCTACAATAGGCCTCAATTGTACTTAGTACTTTTGAAGAAATAGCATATAGTTGAGACCAATATGCTTGAATACCAAAGAGGACTGTTTGGATTAACCGAGTTCTCCCTGCATATGAGAGTTTCTTTACAGTCCAAGAGGAGATTCTGGATACTATTTTGTTAATCAAAGGTTGCCACTGTAATAGTGAAATCTTTTTTGTGGACAAGAGAATTCCCAGATATTTGAAGGGGAGCTCTCCTTTTGGAAATCCTAACTGATATAGAATTTGATCTTGAATGACCTGAGTAACACCTCCAAAATAAATAGAGCTCTTCTCGTTGTTATCTTGAAGTCCAGATGCAGAAGGGAAGTCCAAGAAACATGTATTCAATATGGAAATAGATTCAGCATCTCCCCTAGAGAATAGTAGTAGATCATTTGCAAATGATAAATGAATCACTACTAGTTTAGAACACTTTGAATGATACTTGAACTTTTTGTTTCCTTTCAACTCATTAAGCTTCCTGCTTAAATATTCATTGGCTAAGGCAAAGTGAAATGGAGAGATTGGGTCACCCTGTCTTAGTCCTTTATCTGCATTAAAATGGGCTGTTGATTCACCATTAATCAATATAGAGTAATTTACTGTCTTCATACATTCTAAGATCCACATAGTGATTTGTCTAGGAA